CACTGTTTGTAAGTCTTATGCTAGGTTTGATGGTACGCACACCGTTTTCTTAATTTTTTTAAAAATCAGATACCCTAATTTATGTTGAATAGATACTGCAGTGAATCGTGAACTTTTCCTTGAAAAGTTAAATGCATTAATTGTGAATAATCGAGAAGACAATTGTTTTTATTTTTCAAACACATCTCTCCTCACCGGGACTGATTACTCTTTATGAAGCTATGTTTGGCATTAAATCAAGAAGAGGCATAGCATCGTCTTTTTTGTCTGGTGAACAAATCGCAAATATTGAAACCGAAGAACAACTCTTAAGAAATTGCTAATACTTTTGAAACCGAAGAACAGCTTGAAGAAACTATTAATACATTTGGAGAAAATCTGAGCAGTGGCCATACCAAAAACCATATTCCACAGAAAAATATTGAGGAGGACCTGCAACTTCCCACGTCTTTGTATCAAGCCCGGACTGAAAAACACAAGTTAATTTCTATAAAAAGATCGGCTGCGAAAGAAAATCTTTTACTGCAAGCAATGAAAATGTTACAAACCTCAAAAAAATGTTTTTCTAGCTCAAATTGGTGAGACCGTACGAATACAAGTCCCTGATGTCGACCGTGGTCGTACAGATGGCCGAAATGTGTTGGCAGTTGTTGTTGGAATAAGACTCCAGTTTTTATAACATAGCAAATAAAAATGACACCTTCAAGCAGCTTTATACCCATAAACAGTTCGTAATTTGTAAAGAAAAGTTTCTTTCCATAGATGAGATTTCTTCTCAAGTAATGTCGCTGAGAGAAGCTGCTGCAGCTAATTCAAGAAGTAAAGGGCAAGGCTATAACACGTTGTCACTGCAAAAGGAAGTGTTCCACAACTAAATGCAGTTGTAAAAGCAAGGGACTCTTGTGCAATTAAAAATGTCATAAAAGTTTATGTTGTTGCAATAAATAAGATTTCAATCACATAATTAAGCAATTATTATTATTATTATTATTATTTTGTTGTATTATTTTCTTTTCTCATTTAGAATGTATTGTCTAAGTTCAAAAGTTTATTTACATATGCTGTTACTTCAGATTTTTCGTATTTTGACATATACGGTATAAATGCAAAAGTAAAAAAAAAGTTCTTTATTGGTTAATTTAAAACTAAATGCTTAACATTTATCCAAGCACAACTGCTGTCACTACGAAATCAAGTAATATCGAGTAGCCATTCTCGCCTTAGAATCAAAAGCTACATGTCACAGTGAAAACGCCTCTATGGCATTACAAACTCTTCTCACCAGGGATTGGTTACTCCTCTCAGCAAGACAAGCAAAAATGTTACATCACCCTTGAAGTTTTATGGCGCCTGAATATAGAGAAAAAAATGCAAATCTACGACGTACAGAAATAAGGATATTTGGCAAATATTTTGGATATGCACCAAGCGACTATGTGAATGCTGACATTTACCGGTGAATGTCGGCATTCTCCAAATCTTGGTCTTTCACAGAAACCTATATATAAGTATTTATGGATATCTTTTATTATTTGCATTTAATTAAATCCATACATCCTTGTAAAAATCATGCATTTGCCTTTAAAAATATTTAAATATTTATTAAATAATTTATAATGTATTTGGAAATGAAGGATTTATTTATTCATAAACTCCTGTGAATATTACTGTGAAGAAATCTAGTTATTAAATATAACTAAATATATAATGATTATAAATATTATCTAAATATATAATGACCGTGACATTTAATTGTAAGCATCCATTTAAATTCTGTTGACATATATATTTATAAAACTATTTAAGCAAGGTGGTGAGGTGTATTTAATTATGGCAAAGCACACAAGGGCTATCTGCCTAAGGGGAGAGATGCCTTCGTGGAGGACTTTCTAAGGGAAACTGGCTTGTATACACGTTACACATGGGGAAAACAACGAAAACACTCCTGCAGCCAGGACGTTCGCGGGATTCGAACCTCGGAACGAACTACCAGTATTCAGCGACTTTACCACTTGGCAGCTGGTGAGCCCTATTTAAGCAAGAATTATTCATACTTGAAAATAAAAGAACAATTTCTTTACATTTCAAAAGACATTTTTATTAATCTTAATCCTCATAGAAAGTTAAGTACAGTTCGTAGATTCATTCGTTGCCTAGATTGTGCCATTTGTAGACGTTTTTTAAAGATAAAACATATCGCTGTGTACATGGACTCCTGTCAAATAATTTTGGTTAGAAACTTTACGGTTTTGCTATCTAAAGTTTTTGTTTTTGTTTCGGATTTTCAGATTAAATTGTGTGTTCAAAACGGTTTTGCATTCGCGAAAACCGTGTTTTTGGAGACATTTTAGGCTTAAAGTTCGAAATGTAGACAAAAAATTAATTGTCGTTAATTCGGACACCCATAATCCGGACCTCAAAGCTACAAACTTTCTGCGCATGTGCCACGTTGATGCATGCGCGTAAGACCTTTACGGCTGCGAATATGCGTGTGCGCATGGGCAAAATACTTTTACGAATGCTCATTTAATGTATAACGGACGGTATAAGATAAGCTAAAATTATCTAATTCAGTTAATGTTGCAGATTGCGTTGTTCCTTAATCTTTGAATTGGATCCAGCTTATTATTTTTTGCAGACTGTTACAGCAATTTTATAAAAGTAAGCTTGAACTTTCGATTATGTCAAATAGAAATTCTGATATATATTTATTAATATGTAAAGTATCTACAAAGCGAAAGTATATTTCGAAGTCCATTACACAAAAAGTGGAATTGCTGCAAAAAATGGATAAAGGCATATCCTTTGTTTATCTAACCATTCCGAAATCTGTTTATCAATTTCACGCTGCTCTGCGGCAGCGGCGCACTATGAATTGGAAGTTGATCTGTCAGCACTATCCTTGTCTTCAGGGCAGATGTTTTTATTTTATTTCGCTTATAATTCCTTACTAAATGTAGTGTTTCATCTCGATGTACTCCGTCTTTGATATGATTTAAATCAAATTCCTCGTCATTATAATTCGCTTCAGATAGCGAAGAAAGTAACAGAGGTTATTGAAAACGAAAAAATTTCGATTGACAAATTAGTCAGTATTCTCGGCACAGCAATTATAGGACTTGAACAGCGAAACTTTGTAACTGAACAAGAAATTACGTCTGTTTATAAAATTAAAGAGAAAGTATTATCACATAAAAAACGAAGCAACCTAAACAACTTACATTGAAAGAAATGTTTAATAAAATAAACAAATAAATATTAAGCTCTTTTTTTTTTTTTTTTTTTTTTTTTTTGTAAATTTTGATACCCTTTAGATCATAATTGTTCTTTATTTCATAAATTACGGTTTCATATTTTTAATTGGTATAACTCTGATATACGCCCTAATTTCACCAAATGTGGCGATATCTGTTCTGCGCTGGTTTTTGGCGCTATTGCGTGTTTTGTATGGCAACCCTGTTGACGTTGAAGAATCTTTCACTAGAGTTCGTTGGTTCGCGTCATGCTCTATGTCTGAGAAGCTAAAATGGTGGAAGTTGTTGAATTGAAGTTCGGCAAAAGGAAATATTGTCATGGCCATTCTGTTGAAGGGCAGTGGGTATTTGGAGGTGTGGAAAGAAGGTCTGGGAGATTATTTTTAGTGGCTGTGCATGATAGAAGTAGGGATTTGTGATTATTTGTTATTTTATTTTATTTGTGAACTAAAGTATGGATTTTCTGGATAGTGTGTCTGGGTGTCATATAAATCCGATAGTGATTACGTGGCGGCATGTTAAAGGCGGTATGAAATTGGTATTTCTGCTGTTAGAAAAAGCATTGATTCATGGTTAGTGCATTTTATTTTATTCTTGTTCTTATTTTGTAGAATGTTATGTTCATTGTTTTTGTAGTATGAATTTCTGTCGTTATTGTTTTTTTTAATTGTTTGAAATTTATTTTAGTTATTTTGTTGATTAGTGCGTATTGTCTAAATTGTGCAATTCGTAGATGTTTTTTTAAGTTGAAACAGAACGCTGTGTACATGGTATTCTTTGAAATTTATTGTTGTTATGTTAATTTATTAAAGTGAGGTGTGCGTAGTTTGTAAATTCGTTTGTTGCCTAAATTGTGCAATTCGTAGATGTTTTTTTAAGTTGAAACAGGACGCTGTGTACATGGTATTCTTTGAAATTTATTGTTATGTTAATTTATTAACGTGAGGTGTGCATAGTTTGTAAATTCGTTTGTTGCCTAAAATGTGCAATTCGTAGATGTTTTCTTAAGTTGAAACAGGACGCTGTATACATGATATTCTTTGAAATTTATTGTTGTTATGTTAATTTATTAAAACGAGGTGTGCATCGTTCGTAGATTCGTTCGTTGCCTAGATTGTGCCATTCGTAGACGTTTTTTGAAGATAAAACATATCGCTGTGTACATGGACTCTTGTCAAATAATTTTGGTTAGAAACTTTACGGTTTTGCTATCTAAAGTTTTTGTTTTTGTTTCGGATTTTCAGATTAAATTGTGTGTTGAAACTGGTTTTGCATTCGTGAAAACCGTGTTTTTGGAGACATTTTAGGCTTTAAGTTCGAAATGTAGACAAAAAATTTAGATAGCAATATGGCAGCGTGGAGTTTCTCGCCAAAAATGTTTGGCAAGAAATTTGGTGACTTGAGGGCGCATATCAGAGTAGTTCCTTTTAATTTTATAATTTCTGCATGCCATCTTACCAAATTTAAACTGATGATCTATAATCCAGAAAAATCGAAAATCCGGAATCGCCGAAGTCCCGACGAGTCCGGATTAATGACTTTTGACTGTATATGGAAATCTCAAATTAGTAGCAATATTTAACATAACTTAACTATTAAAATAAATGGTGCTGTAATTTGAAATGAACCTCATAAAGCATTCATTATAGAGTGTTTGGGTCCCTCTGCTCCTTAGTTTTTATATACAATAATGTTGATTTGAAAATAATAAGTTAGCACAGTTTAGCTTTATCCTATATTACTCACCAATTAATACCAGAGGTATATCAGCTTCAGTATAATTTCTTAACTCATCAACCCATTGTGGTAAGTGGAGGAAACTGGTATGCTTTGTAATATCATATGCCATGATGACACCATGAGCACTTCGATAGTAACTTTGAGTTATAGTTCGAAATCTTTCCTGGCCAGCAGTATCCCAGATTTGTAACTAAAATTAGAATTACAAAATATTACTCAGTAAAATAAATTATGTATGTACTAACTAAATAAAATGAATATAAAACAGCCAAATAGCAGATGCCATTTTCTTTTTCTTTCAAATAGTACAAGAAAAATAACTATTAGTTAAGTTGGCCAATAGAATGACAGCAGACATTAACATCATTTTTAAATTCCACTGCAAAAATTTCCCTTGTTTTAAAAATATCACTTTATTATAACGCTATATACAGCTAAATTTATTTTAAATTTCAAATCGATACTATATAAATATTTTCAGATAATTCTCACACATTCTAAAATACAAATTCTTATCATGCCTTTTATATGCATAGGATGTCTAATAACTTATTCGAGCCTTTAGCATTTCCTACATACAGGAGATAATTAATATCATTTTAGAAAACCATTTCATCTTAAGACTACCACGAAACTCAAAAAAGAGGACTGGAATAAAGGCAGTTATTAACTTAATTATCTATGAGATTCAGAATTATTTCTGCAGGACACAAAGTAATTATTTCCTAATGAAAAATGGAAAAAATTAAAAGACATATTGATATAAATTAAGATATTATATGTGGTGTATATATATGTGATATTTTAAGGCATAGTTGTGATGGCTGAGTGGAAAAGGCAGGAAGAAGATACTGACAAAACTAATTTTGGAGAAATCACCATCTTTTAGACACATCAGAATCATTTCTTTGTAGATAATATACATTCTGATCATGAGCAATTACAATAATTTTTATACACACAGGTAAAAAGATACAACATCGTTTTAGGCAAGTAAGCATAGCAGTGTGGAAATGTTGGCAGGGCAGAAGTTAAGAAAAAGAGTGACGAAGTTAGACTCGTTGTTATGACCAGGCTATTGCAATGTGCAACAATGGCAGTTCATTGAAATGAAGCCCGAAAGCACAGGACGTAATGATACCGGAATGTGGATATAATCTCAGAAGAGAAATCGAAGGACAGGAAAAGAAAACAAAAGACCATAAAGGACCAAAGCCAGAAATGAATCAGATAGATGACTCTATACTTGACGAGAGTGGAAATAATCCAAAATTTACCATGATTGAGCAGATTCAATAAAAAATACAATAGCCAAGATACTATATACAAAATACAATCAATAAGAATACACGCAAATACAAAAGTCATACAATGAAAACATATAAGTAAAATCAATACAAGTTCAAATGCAAAAAATTTTCAAACAAGTTCAAAACTCAACTGAGGTTGAAATGAGATAAATGGAAGAAGTATAAGCAACCACTGATAGAGGAGCTAGGTAACAAAATTCTGGTCACCACCCATGATTGTATGTGTAGCAAGAGGTCGTATATTTCTATCTTCATGAAGTATCTTATAGTTGAAGACTTGCAAGTAGCTGATGAAGTTGCATTGGAGAGCCTTAGTAAAAAACTTTTCATTAGTCCTTTTGATTTAGTCACAGATAGTTTCAATTTTTAAATCCCCATGAGAGAGTTCATTCCTAATCAATTGGTCAGTGTCGGTAATGATGCGTAGAAATTTGTTATGAACCACTTGTAGCTGGTAAAGTTGATTCCTTGTTGCCGTGTTCCATGCTGGAGCAGCGTAACATAAAATAGGCCTGATGGCCATAGTGTAGATGTGTCTTTTGGTGCAGAGGCTAAGGTTAGAATACTTCTATAACAAGAATATATATACTCCTTGAACAAGAATGAATCTACACATGATACCAATAGCTTTGCTTTTGATGCAATTAGCCTATGTCAGTCTTTGATTCAGAATGATGCCTAAGTATTTGGCTTGTTTGGCTAAAGGAACTGGTTTCTAAAACAATAAGAGTTCTTTGAAATTGATATGCTTTCGGGTCTTGCTAAGGATTAACAATTGAGATTTACTTGCATTGATCTTGACATGCCAGTTAGTACATCAGATTTCCACAGAAAAAAGATAATTTTGCATTTTGGTGATAGCTTGATTTGCTTTTATAGATTTTTATTGATGGCTATTGCTGTATCATCAGCTTAGCAAGCAAGTAGAGAGTGATTGTCCAATCTGGGATGTGGAAAATCAGATATATAAGAGATATAGAATGGGACCTAAGATACTGCTTTGAGCCACACTTGAACAAATAGTTCTCGGAGCAGAAGCTTCGTTTCTTTGTACAACAGAAAAAGTGCGATGTTGAAGGAAGGAGTAAATGAGGCGAATCCATTTTCTTTGTAGGCCCAAGTAAATGAGTTGGAAATGAGCCCCCTCATGCCAGAGGCGGTCAAAGGCCTTTGCTACGTCTAGCATAAGCAGTGCAACACTTTGTTTATAATGGAAAGCAAATCCAATGAACTCTACAATTCTCACAAGTTGTCTGGTAGTACTTAAATTCTTCCCGAAGCCATATTGATCATTAGGAAGGAGATGGAAGTAAGGTTCCAATCTTTTTAGAATGAAGAGTTAATAGATTTTTCTAAGACTTGACAAGAGGCTAATTGGACGATGTCCATCTGGTCTTATGAAATCTTTTCCAGGCTTGGGAAGGAGAAAGATTTTGGCCTGTTTCCGAGAGTCCGTGAAATAGTTCAAGGTAAAGCAAGCATCGAGAATACTGGCGAATTTACTAATGACATTTCAGGGCAAATTTATTAGTAACTTGATCACTTCCTATAGTCTTTTTAACATTAAGGTATCTAATGATGTTGGTAACTTCCAAAGGAGTAGTAAGTTTTGGTAAGTTGTGAGCTGTGAGAGACTGCAGCCACGACGGAACATAGTTTTCAAGCACTTTTTGAATGTAGGATTCATAGGGTCCATATTAGGCAAAGATTGATTTTCCAGATATTCAGCGAAAATGTCCACTTTATCTTTAAGCGAATAAGCAATTTTGTTACCCACATAAATAGGTCTATTGTTGATATTCTTCTTTTTAAGATTTTGAAGATACTTCCAAAGGTAGCCATCATTGATGTTAAGTTTTAAATAAAGCCTTCTTTGTTTGTTTGTTTTTTTTTATTTTAAATCGAACATTCTGTTGTGTTCTTTAATGATGTCTCTGATACTACGTAGAAGTCTGACTTTATTATTAGTAAGCTGAACAGTTACTGTAGCATTCCTGTAAGCTTTCAAGATATTGTCCATAAAATTCTTAAAAGCATGATTTATGTCCGCTTTAGGAAGGAAAAATTTGGTCGATGTTTAATAATTAAAGTATTATGAAAGGTAATCCATTCAGTGTTCCTTTTTATAATAGGTGGATCTTCTTTAGTGATTCCAAGAGAAGTGATGACGGGAACATGATCTGAAGTAAGCTCTGCCTTGACTTCAAGAGCAATGGGCTATGAGGTGTTGGATAAAATGATGCCGAGGATGTCTGATTGACATGGATTTGTAGGTCTGTAAGTAGATTCAGTCAGGACATGTAAAGCTATTGGATGATTACAAATGAAGTTGTGCAAGATGCGACCGTTGGCATAGGTCCGCCAACATCCCCAATCAATGTGTTTAGCATTGATGCCACCAGTAAAGATGACTTAATGGTCTTTAGGAAGTAAACTTTTAAGCATGTCTTTTGAAAGTTTATGGTGAGGCAGATTGTAGATTGCACAAAAATTAATAGTTCGTAAGAAAAATTTATCAAACATTTCACAAGTCCACAGTTGGTGCATTCTTATCTTTTTTTGTATAGTCTTTAGTCATGGTTTTCACCACACTTCACACATCAAAATTGATTGTTGCAAGCAGCTTGTGAATGATGAAAACCTTGACACCTGAGGCACTGGACAAGGCCAGTTTATTCTTCGTAAGATTCCACTTTAATTTGCAGACCTAGAATTTTAGTTTCCTTTGATATTTCTTTGCATTTTTCAGTTTTTGGCAGAGATACTAAAAATAAAGGATATTTTTTAATATCTCCTTTAAATCTGCGAGATAACTGAGTAACACTAATAACTTTATAGTTCTTGTTAGTAAGTTCCTCTTTGATTTCTTCAGGATCTGTATCATGAGTGAAATGCCTAAAAAACCACCTTGAGGTTCTTATCTTCAGGTAAAATGAAAGAGTGGTACTTGACATTTTTATCATTGAGGATACGTGTCATTTTCCTACGGATGGTAACATCAGTCACTTTAATCTTGCAACCAATTTTTTTGTATATAGCCAGTGTAATCGGATTTATATGATAAGTTATGGTCAGCAAGTAAAATTTTGAGTCCAGTTGTATTTTTTATCATTAATATACAGTCAAAAGTCGTTAATTCGGACACCCATAATCCGACCTCAAAGCTGTGCGTGAGACCTTTACAGCTGCGAATATGAGTGTGCGCTGCTCGTTTAATGTAACGGACGGTATAAGCTAAGCTAAAATTATCTAATTCAGTTAATGTTGCAGATTACGTGTTCCTTCACTGCAAAATAATAGCGGATCCAATCTTCCAATTGGATCCGGTATATTTTTTGCAGACTGTTAGAGCAATTTTATAAAATAAGATTGAACTTTCGTTAGTCAAATAGAATTCCGATTATATTTACTATATGTAAAGATCTACAAAGCGAAAGTATTTCGAAGTCCATTAAACATTAAACAAAAGTGGAATTGCTGCAAAAAATGGATAAAGCATATCCTTTGTTTCTCTAACCTTCCGAATCTGTTTTATCAATTTCACACTGCTTGCGGGGGGGGGGGGACACCACACGTGCAATGAATTGGAAGTTGATCTGTCAGCACTATCTTATCTTCAGGGCAGTTTTATTTTATTGGCTTATAATTCCTTACTACATGTAGTATTTCATCTCAATGTACTCCGTCTTTGATATTTTAATCAAGGCTCGTCATTATAATCGCTTCGATTATAAAGTGACAGAGAGTTATTGAATGAAACATTTCGATGAAGTTAGTCGGTATCTCGGCACAGCAATACAGGACTTGAAAGTGGACTTGTACTGAGAAATTATGTCTGTTTAGAATTAAAGAGAAAGTGTATCACATAAAATAAGCAACTTAAACAACTACATTGAAAGAAATGTTTAATAAAGTAAACCAATAAATATTACCTTTTTTTTTTTGGTAAATTTTGATATCCTTTAGATCATAATTGTTCTTTTTTATAAATTACGGTTTCATATTTTTAATTTAATGCAGAAATCTATAATCTGATGATCTACAATCCGGAAAAATCGATAATCCGGAATCGCCGAAGTTCCGACGAGTCCGGATTAACGACTTTTGATTGTATATGGTAGGAGGTGCTTTCACTTTTTTAGTTTAATCATTTTGATTTTTCTTCATTTGTAGATGCGTTTGGCTCAGCAGCACTAGTGTCCATAGATTCTTGGTTTTAGTTAATTGGTATATTTAAAGGTTTAAGTTGTAAAGCATTAATGGCATGAAAATGACCCTTTTTTTCTTTTTCCAATTGTTCTGTCACCTTAAGGCCTTTGTTCCGATTCATTACCAGAACTATCAATCTTTTGATAAAGTGGAATCTCTTTAGTTGCATTAGCATTAGATTTACTTGGCAAACTTTTCATTCTTTTCCATTTGACAATTTTCCATTCACTGTCAATGGAGGCAGAAGGAGATTCATTTTGTGGGTGTTCCAAAGATGATTCAATTTCTTTTTCAGCAATGATTAATGCATCATATACTTTTTGAAGTAAATCCAATTCATGTGATCTTCTTTGACAGTAAGACTTTCATTTTTCTTCTTTGATTTGAGCTCCTCAACTGAAGCTGCAAATACTTTCAGTAAAGAATCCATAGTCCATAAGCAAAAGAAATCCTAAACAAAAAAGGAGCCTGTGCAAATCTAACCTTAATGGATGAAAACCGACATTTCAGAACCAGACCCACTTGAAGGTGTTCTGGCAGATGGATGAGCCAGTGGAACCTCACAAGGCCCTTGAGTTCCACATAACAGCAGAAGCTAGAGGGTGAGTGACGAAGTTGCTTGCGAAGCAGTATTTATATTAAGTAGGTGTATATGTAAAGCTAAGCTTAATTTTAGGTTTTAGTTCCTTTTTTCAAGCAGTGTTATGTAATTTGGAAAGATCTCGAATTTGGGAGAAAGGATAAACTTAGGGGAAAGAACACCAAATTTAAAGTAGCCAATTTTGAGATTGCAATTTATTTGGATGCATAGCCATTGTATTTTATTATATCTTATATATAGATATATATGTGCAAGATAAAAATATATAAATCAGCTTTATGGTTTAATTTAGTAATAGCATCTTAAGTCCTCATTTTTAAGTTGGGTATTTCCTCTCTGTAATCTAAAAGTAGTAATAATTTTTCTAGATTGTGCTATTTCTAGATTAATATTATGTCATATGGCTTGTGTAACACTGATGACATAGCTAATTCGGAACTTGAACTCAAAATTTTGAGAACTGAAACCTTTCTAACCAAAACCTTCTCTCAGTGAGCTTCCATAATGGATAATTAATTACACACTTTTAATTACACCTCTGTGTCACTTGGATGCCATTTCACTCTGCTCTCTTTCTATCACAACAGTACAAAATATGTAAATATTCTGAAAATAGGCATGATTACAGTGTTAAGTAAATTATGGCCATAAATGTCAACTGAAATAAAAATGAACATTAATCTTATTTGGCTCCCAAGTTTCCTAGTAACTACGGATTCAACATTTTAGCATTCTATGCAATCAGAATTCTTTCTCTTCAATATGGACCTATGTTCTAAGCTATCTATGCATTGCGCCATCAGTATTTCTGCATTTCTACATCTCAGTGTTCCTACATCAGAAAAAGTACTTCTAAATTTGTTTTTATTACATACACACACATATATACAAAATGAAACTTGGTAATTTTGAACTTAAAAAGCCTAAAACTTGTACTAAAGCTGCTAAGCAAGTAAATATGAATGTATTATTAAGTAGTTTTTGGATTATTTCCTAAGGGGGAAAAATGTGAACATTAATTAAAACATAAAATGTTAATAAAAAAGTTAAGTAAAATGGTACTTACGTTTTAACGCAACCAG